CTCAAATTGTTGGACTGATTCGGGAAGGAGTTGCTAGGTCCACTTTTTCTGAATTTTCTCTTGTTGAGTATTCTTTTGAAGCCTCGTGTGACGAGTGCAATATCACTATCATCACCTTCCATGTCATCTTCACTCACGGAGGATGGATCATCTTCATCTTGTGAAGCCTTCAGAGCAATATTCTTTCTTACTTTCGCATCCTCCTCCTCTTGCACTTTGAATTTAAGTTTCAGCTCATAAGAGGTTAGAGAATGAATAAGAGATTCAATAGGCACAGTATTCAAATCTTTAGCCTCTTCAATAGCAGTCACTTTATTTTTCCAATCATTGGACAAGACATTCAAGATTTTTCTATTTTTCTCACCTACAGAATATTCTTTTTCCAGCACCTCTAAGTCCTTAATGAGGTCATTGAATCTACAGTACATCTCATCAATGTTTTCATGAGGTTTCATCTTGAACGATTCATACTTGGTAACCAGAATGGATTTCTTTTGTTCTCTAACATTCTCACTACCTTCATGAATTTCTCTCAGTTTATCCCAAATTTCCTTGGCTGACTTGCAGCTTTTGACTCTAATAGATTCATTTGAGTCTAAAGCACAATATAACACATTCATGGCTTTTGCATTTAAGGTGAGATGAGTTCTATCTATAGCAGTCAGTTCACTTCTTGTTTTTGGTCTAGATCTATGAGTATTTTTATCTATAAGAGAGGCATCATATGGACCTTCACTAATAATAAACCACAATTCAATATCAATAGATTGCAAAAAAATAATCATCCTTTCTTTCCAACTTACATAATTTGACCCATTAAACAAAGGTGGTCTAATGACAGAATGTCCTTCGAAAAATATAGCATTATTGGTTGTCATCTTTATTCCAAAGCCGATTGAGCTTAATCTCTAGGAGACCAAGCTCTGATACCAATTGTAAGGCCCGAAAACAACCAATGAGACAATGAACAAGAAAGCAAAACTACTTGGGAGTAGAAGAGATAATCAATTTAAAGAACACAAACGTAACAATAAGTAAATAAAAAGGAAGGAATTGCAAACCAATTAACCACACAGCTCCTCTTGACCTTGTAGATTAATTTAACCAAGTTTCTTCAAGTTGATGAATTACAATCACTCTTGTGTACAAAGGAAGGTTCACCTGCTCCTTGTCCCGAACTCCACTATGTCAAGCCAGGACGTTTTACTATCTCTCAGGACAACCCTCACAGACCTATACTCATGAAGTATTACTCACAAATGAAAAACTTACAATGAACCTCACACCACTAAGACTACAAATCTTCTTTGAAGAGTATTTTCTCACTAAAATCTCTCTAGATCTTTTATATCTTCAGTGTGCCAAAGTTGTTTGTAGTGTCTGACCAACCACTATTTATATAGGACCAAGAAAATGCCTCATTAATGCTTCCAATGGATAGAAAGTAGCTGAACAGTCAACTAGCCATTGGTAGTGTCGGACGTCCGATAGCCCTGTTTTATGCGTCCGACAGCAGGCAGTGAGTTTGAGAAATTTTCTTCAATTCTTTCGGACGTCCGGTAGGTTGGTTTTCTGCGTCCGAAGGTATGATGTAAAACTGGGACGCAGACTTCTTGAACGGTAGGTTGAGCGTCCGACAGCTTCAGCATACTTTGTCCCCTTTCAATTGCACTTGTTCATGGAATCAAATAACTTCAAAACTGAAAGTATATCTTGAAGATATATTAGTATCATCCATTTGTTTTGTAAACATTAAAAGATAGGGATCAAGATCAACAAAGTACTTAAGTGATAGTTAGTAGTACTATCGTTATAAAAATTTCTTAAAAGTTTCACTCCCTTGCACTTAAATCGGAAATACGCGTTCCACACGCGTGATTTAATTGAGGGACTTTAGACCCTTGTTTTGGAACAATTAAGAGTGAATAATATTAATATGAATACAAGTGCATTAGAGGTTTAGTGCACTAGTGAAACAAACGCAAGAGGAATCGAGCATAGGGAGAGTTGACTTTTGAACAAATTGTAGCCATACATTAAAGCTTCCTTTGGAAGCCTCATTTCAAACCAAAATCTCTCTCTCTTGCTCTCTCATTTAGCCGGCTATCAAGCAAGAAAAAGAACTCAAGAGCTCTTCAAATTTCTTCATCAAATCTTCATCAAACTTCCTCCAATTCACCTCGAATTTCACCTACACTTAGCAAATCACTTGGAGATTACATCAAGCTAAGAAAGAGGGCTGCTTTCCATGATTTTCTTGAGCATATTTGGACTGAAATTTCTGCTTGAAGTCACCAACAAGAGTAAGTGATGATCCACCTTGAAAAACTTGATTTATGGAAGTAGTAGTGAACTTATGAGCTTGCAAATTCATGTGGGTAACTTTATTTATGTGGAAAATTATTGTGTGAGCTCTATGAACTCCAAGTTTGGTTGGATGGACTGATTTGATGAAGGATGATGTTATTAATGTTGGTTTAGTGCTTAAATTAGTGGAATAAGGCTATATTGTTGGTAGAAACTCAAAGGAGGTGTAATGGACAAAAGTGACCGTTTTACCCCAGTCATGTTCGTGCACTTTAGTGCAATTTTTTGAGCTTCTAATGGCTTGTTTATGATGTATACATGTTATATGGGGTGTGTAGAAAGTTTCATTACAAAATAACGTGATGCCGTTGGGTAGATGTTGAAATTTCGAAGGCTCTTCAAAACTGGAAATTTTCCCGGATTTGCCCAGACAGTGTTTTTGTTTCGGCTATAACTTTTTGCTCCGATGTTGAAATCGAGTACCGTTTGTGGCATTGGAAATTAGACATTCTCATCTTTCCAACAGTATAAAATTCATATTCAAATTCCACCTGAGTGAACTACACCAACCGTTTGAACTTGGCTACCCTGTTTCGTTAGTTCACTGGAAGGTACAACATGAACTACAACTTGATGCTCAAATGTGGGCTAGTTATGGACAGATTTTGAAAATGGTTTCTTCTGAGAAATTGTAGCTTTATGAATTTATTTTCCGACGCCATAAACCATGCTCAATTTCAAGTTGAATTGAGTGAGTTGTGGCCAAAGTTTGAAACTGACTCAGTGATGGAATTCTTCATTTTTGGACGGATCCTTAACTAATCTTGGTTTGGGATTTGTTATTTGAAATTTTTGGTGTAAATCACCTACAAAATGTATTTTGAATCCTCACTAGACCTGATTATCATAAAAGAGACATGTTTTAGGCATTTTCCCTTTGTCAAAAGTTTAGAAAAGGAAATTTTCATACACAAGGCAGCTTTGCCTTAAAATTTTGAAAAATTGAGTGATTTGGTTAACCAACTTCCCGTGCTTATTTGTAAAGATCGAAGACAACCTAAGAGGGGGGGCGAATTGGATTTTCTAAAACCAACTAAGATATAGGTCACTCTTTTTTCAAGCCTACCTTTCTTTTCTCAAATACCACTCAATGGATCAGATTATAAGAAAGCACAGGTGTTCGTGAGATGAAGAAGTGATCAGATTATATAGAAAAGCAATAAATGAAAGTAGAGAAACAAACCAGGTTTCAAACTCCACTTGAGTTTGAACAACACTTTATATAACAAGCTACTTCAAGTTGAACAATCTTGCAACCAATTTCTTGTGTACAAGGGAAGGATCACTTCCTTCTTGCCTCAAACCTCAGTTGGTCAAGCAAGAAAGTTTTACAAACACTCGGATAACCCTCACAATGCTACACTATTGAAGAAGCTGTGTCACACTTGAAAAGCTACAAAAAAATTACACAAGCTGAGAATACAAATGTTCCTTTGGAGTATTCTAACACTTGAATCACTCACGATTCGATGTAGTCTTAATGTGCAAAGTTGCTCTGAGGTAGTTGACTTTCTTCTTTTTATAGGAGACCAAAAAATTCTTCAATTAATGCTGTCAATGGATAGAAGGCATCTGAAGAGTCAACTAGCCATTGGTACTGTCGGACGTCCGATAGTCAATTTTTATGCGTCCGAACGAGATCAGTGAGTTCGAGAAATTTTCTTAAACCTCTTAGGACGTCCAATCCCCTCTCACCATGCGTCCGAGGGTAAGATGCAGACTTGGAGGTTCCTCTTCAATTCCTTCGGACGGCCGATGCATCCAATGTGTTGCGTCCGAAATGCAGCAACGCTTGTCGGACGTCTGATGCTCAGGTGTTGAGCGTCCGATCCTGATCAGTAATCGTAGAAGCCCTGGCTTGTCTTCTTCGGATGTCCGAGTCTGAGTTCTTCATACGTCTGAAGTTACTCAATGGATGTCGGACGTCCGATACTCTCCTTTTGTGCATCCGACATCTTTCTCAGCACTTTTCACCTTTTTTTGATCTTCTTTTTGCTATAAGTCCTCAGACCTGTTTAGTGCCATTTCTGACAAGAGTCTCTACAAAAAGTATTAGTAACATCCGTTTGTTTTGTAGTCATCAAAAGATATGAATTGAAATAAACAATCTCCCCCTTTTTGATAATGACAAAACACTTGGATAGAGGAAAAATAGAAATACGAGCTGGGATAACAACTCCCCTTAACGAAGTGCATGAGTATACGAAACGAAACGCAACTCCCCCTAAAACTGACTCCCCCTAACTAATTTCTTTACACCATCAGTGCTAATCTATTTCTCCCCCTTTTTGTCATCACAAAAGGTGGTATACCATGTCTGATCAATTTTGATACTAGCTCTGATACCTGCATGATCCATCAGAAACATTAGAAACAAAAATTTGACAACAAGGATTTTTCAATCAGATAATATCAGCAAAATCCATTCATGCTCAGCACAATCCGGAATCATCAGAAACACACATCCATTCACATCAGAAACACTCAGTCATAGCATCCATAAATAGTAGAAAACATCTAGTTGTACAGACCAGAAGTACAACTCTTAGTACAAAAGTTTTGCATACGAAAAGTTTTGTAGTGCAAAAGATGAACTATAGTCCTAAAAATAAAGTGCAGTGACCTAGCAGTGCCTAGATAGTAATTTTAGATGATCCAAGCCTCCTCCTAGCCAGACGAAACTGTTCAGGAGCCACTTCTTCCTCAGTTTCTTCATCGTCTTCTTCATATGCCTTCTCAGTAGTTGGAGCCTTGCCTTTATCCTTGGGCTGAGAGCTGGAAGCTGGTGTGGCCTCAGTACCAGTAGTTGGCCCTGTGGGCTCAGGTCTTGGCTCTTTCTGATGAGCATTTTCATTGTTTTCAGGTATTGGAGGCACAAGCAGGTTCCTTTCTTCAATGAAAGAAGATTGTTGGGCAGGGGTCATGGTCATCATGAGACCATCTTCAATAAGCATAACATGCTGTTTGAGGTCTTCAAGCTAGGAGATGACCTTAGAATTGGAAGAGAGGGACTTGCTGGCAGACTTTCTAGGATGAATGGTGAAAGGAGAGACATAGTCTGACTGATCACGAGGAGTTCTAGGAGTGACAGGGGTTTCATGAAAGTTTTTCCTTCTAGACTCAGCCACAGTCTCCTTATAGCACCAATAGCCATCAAAAAATCTTAAGTTCTTTCTTTCAAAATAAGTTTTTGAGAAAACTGTTGAAACACTGTCTTTGGGTGATTTTCTAGAAAAAGGTATTTCAAAATGGGCAAAGATAGGGGTCATAAATTTTTCATAAGAGAGGTTCCTACGACTGTCAGAGCTAATTTTGAGCAGAAACTTGCACATCACAAATCCAAAGTCAATGTGGATTTTTTCAACAAAACAGTAGAAAAGGTAGAGTTCCATTTTGTTTGCATCTGTTCTGTGACCATCAGTTGATACCAACAGATTTGAAATGATAGTGAAGATGATCAGATTCTGAGGACTGAGATCATCTAATCTTGCTTCAGCAGGAGTATTGAAGTGGGTTTGAAAATAGGTCATGAGTTTAGCAATGTAAAAATGATGGTAGGCAGAAGGAAATTCCTCATATGAAAAGAAATTTACAATTTTTCCTTTGTAACCATCTTCAATTTTTGTTTTCAAAATAGAATTTACAATGTCAGGTGTTAATGTGATGTTCACAGAGTTGACCCTAGAGATGAGTTCTGTGTGTGAGTTTCCCTTTCTAAGATTAGCAAAGAATTGGTAAAGCATGTCAGGGTAAAAGGTATTAGGAATGGTCAAAAGATGAACCCATTTTTGGAATTCAAACAGCTTAATAACAGGTTGAAGATCAAACTTACGAAATTCATGGGGAAGGATGAGCCTTTGGGTGATGAACCCTTTTTGAGAGACCAACTCAAACCTGTCTTTGGCTTCATCATCAATGAATTTTGGGAGAGGAGTGGGTTCTATTACGGGTTGAGATACTGGATCCTTCCCAGAATGTTTCCTTTTCGAGGTTTGTGTGGCAGATGACCCAACACTTTGAGTCTCAGTCCTTGTCCTTGGAGATTTTCTGGTGGAGGGTTCAGGTGTTTGCTGATTCTCAGCAATGTTTCCTTCATTCTGCTGATCATCAGAGGGATCAGCAGATTGCTTTTTCTTGGATTGGGGAGTGCTCTTCCTTTTTGCAGTTCTTTTTTTTTTACCAGATGTCCTTGTGACAGTTTCATCATCGTGGGTAGCCCGTTCTGGTTCCTCATTTCCACCAACTGTGTTTCCTTCAGAGTTCTGCTCTTCCATCTGCTTATCAGATGGTTCAGCAGTTGGAGAAACCCATTTTTTTTGGGCAGTTTACTTCACCTTACCACCACGGGTCACAATCTTCTTTTTAGGTGCTTTGGTAGACGGTTCCACAATTTCAATGTCCTCATCTCTAAGTCTAAAAAATCGTCCGGCACTAGTAGATCCTCCTCTGATTCTAACCATGATGCAATGTGGATGTGTGTTTGATGCAGAACGTGGTGTATAGAGGAAGAATGCAGTATGAGCAAACGAGAATGCACTGAAATGCCGCAAGGAGAGAGTTATGAGAAGTTAGGGTATCACATGTGAATTGGGAACTATGGGGTAGTTGGGGGTTAGGAGTGATTTTTATGGGTGGTTAACGGGCAATAGAGGTGTAATGGCGTTGGTTGAGTCAATTTCTTGGAACTTGATTTGAGGAGAGAGGAATTTGAATTTTAAATCTAAGAGGAAACTGAAAGGTTGCGTCCGAGACCGTGGAGGAAAATGAACTGAGGAAGATGGATAACTGCTTTATGAGGCTCAATTTTTTGAGTGTCGGACGTCCGAACGAAGTGAAGCGTCCGACACAACCGTCCGAACCAGTGCTTTTCTGAAACGGGACGAAGAACACTGTTGGACGTCCGTTCCAATTCATTGGACGTCTGATAAAGAACGAACTTAGAATATTTTTTCTGAAATGCCCAGTTTTGTTCTCAAGAACACAAATTGATCCAATGGAAGAGCTTTTGTGAGGATATCAGCGATTTGATCTTTAGAACAAATGAACTGAACACAGATTACCCCCTTGGAGACAAGATCGCGAATGAAATGATACTTTATATCTATGTGCTTAGTCCTAGAGTGTTGAATGGGATTTTTTGTCAGATTAATTGCACTAGTGTTGTCACAGTACATAGATACACATTCAAATACTAAACCAAAATCATTCAATGTATTTTTCATCCATAACAATTGAGTACAACAAGCACCAGCAGCAACATATTCAGCTTCAGTAGTGGACAATGAGATAGTATTTTGTTTTTTACTAAACCAAGATACTAAACAATTTCCAAGAAAGTTGCATATACCAGTAGTACTTTTTCTATCTATTTTACAACCACCGAAGTCAGCATCAGAGAATCTACATAAAGGAAGTTCATGACATTTTGGATACCACAAGCCAAAATTTAAGGTTCCTTTAAGATATCTAAGAACTCTTTTTACCGCATTCAAGTGTGATTCCTTTGGACAGGATTGAAATCGAGCACATAAGCATACAACAAACATGATATCAGGCCTACTGGCAGTTAAATAAAGTAAACTTTCAATCATACCTCTATATTTCTTTTCGTCTACTTTTGTACCTTTTTCATCTTTGTCAAGTTTGGTAGATGTGCACATAGGTGTTCCAACAGGCTTTGAGTTTTCCATTTCGAATCTTTTCAGCAGCTCCTTGGTGTATTTTGTTTGATTTATAAACGTTCCATCTCGGGTTTGAACCACTTGGAGTCCAAGGAAGAAGTTTAATTCTCCCATCATGCTCATTTCAAATTCTTTTTGCATGATGTTAGAAAAGTCCTTGCACAAGCTCTCATTAGTAGCACCAAATATGATATCATCCACATATATTTGCACAATTAACAGATCTCATGAGCTTTGTTTTGTGAAAAGTGTAGTATTTACAATGTCCCTTTTAAAACCATTTTCAATCAAAAATCCACTCAAACGTTCATACCATGTTCTAGGAGCTTGTTTTAATCCGTATAAGGCTTTTGAGAGTTTAAAAACATTATCTGGATAAGATTAATTTTCAAAACCAGGAGGTTGGTCAACATAGATTTCTTGATCTATAAAGCCATTTAAGAAGGCACTTTTAACATCCATTTGAAATAATTTAAAATTCTTGAAACATGCAAATGCTAGAAACATTCTAATGGACTCCAGCCTAGCTACAGGTGCAAAGGACTCATCAAAGTCTATTCCCTCTTCTTGAGTGTATCCCTTAGCCACCAGCCTGGCCTTATTTCTAACAACCTCCCATTTATCATTAATTTTGTTTCTAAAAATCCACTTTGTGCCAATGATAGGATGGTCTTGTGGTCTAGCAACCAGGGTCCAAACCTTGTTTCTTTCAAATTGGATTAACTTTTCTTCCATAGCTAAAATCCAGTGCTTATCATTCAATGCATCAACAACATTTTTAGGTTCAAAGTGTGATACTAAAACAAGATTATCTACTAGGTGTCTAGAGGAACGAGTTCTAACCTTTTCAGATGGATCACCAATTATAAGCTCCCTGGGATGGTTCTGGACAAATTTCCAGGTTCTTGGAAGATCATTGGGAGTAGTGGTATCTCTGTCATTCACTTCTCCAGTTGGACTGTCTTGAGTATCAGCATTCTTTAAATCAATTTCTGGTGAAACAGAGCCATGATGATTGATTGCTAACTTCTTTAATTCTTCTTGTACACCTGCATCATCATCTTCACCACAACTCATGGAAATGTCACCATTAGATTCATCAAAAGTAATGTGTATCGCCTCCTCTATAACTAGTGTTTTACGATTATAGACTCTGAAGTCTCTTTTGTTTTCACAATATCCCAAGAAAATCCCTCATCAGATTTCTTGTCAAACTTTTCAAGATGTTCCTTGATGTTCAAAATGAAACATTTAGAACCAAAGACTTTAAAGTAACCAACAACATGCTTTTTGTCAAACATGAGCTCATAGGAAGTTTTGTTCAAAATTGGTCTTAAGAGAACTCTGTTTTTGGTATAACAGACTGTGTTTATGGTTTCAACCCAAAAATACTTTGGTAAATTACATTCACTAAACATGGTTCTAGCAGCCTCTTAGAGAGTTCTATTTTTTCTTTCTACAATTTCATTTTGTTGGGGGACTCTAGCAATAGAGAATTCACGTGCAATGCCATTGTTATCACAAAAATCTGGAAAGCGACAAAAATGAAATTCAGTGCCATTATCACTTCTAATTTTGATAATTTTCAAGCCAATCAAATTCTGAACTTTAGCAAACAGTGATACGAAGTTCTTAAACACATCATCTTTATGTGCAAGAAACATCACCCATGTATATCTGGAATAATCATCAATAACAACAAAACAGAATCTCTTACCACTAAGGCTTGTAGTTTGTGTAGGACCAAACAGATCAAGGTGTAAAAGTTCTAGTGGCTTTGAAGTAGAAACACATTTCTTGGGTTTAAAAGATACCTTGACTTGTTTTCCAAATTGGCAAGCATCACATATCCGGTCCTTTTCAAATCTGATTTTTGGGAGACCTCTAATAAGATCCTTTTTAGAAATTTCTTTTAGCAAATCCATATTGAAGTGACAAAGCTTTCTGTGCCACAATCAGGGATCCTCATTTGCTACTTTGAGACAACTAAGGCTGGAAGCATCAACTTTTTCAAGAATCACCACATAAATGTCATTAACTCTTTTTCCTTTAAAAATAATGTTAAATTTTGAGTCAAGAACAAGGCATTCATGTTTCTTGAATAACACGAGCAGGTTCCTATCACATAATTGACTAACACTCAACAAATTGTAACTCAGGTTGTCGACTAAAAGAACATTATGAACAAAAGTCTGACCATTTTTACCAACATCACCAATGCCAACAGTTTTGGCTTTATTATCGTCTCCAAAAGTAACATTTCCGCTTGTTTTTGGCTTGAGCTTGATGAACTGTGATGCATCACCAGTCATATGTCTTGAGCATCCACTATCTATGAACCATTTTGATTCTTTAACAGTGTTCACCAGGTTTACCTACACAGTAGTCCACAATATAATGTTTGGTACCCATTACTTTTTGGGTCCTTCATGGTTAGCATTATGTCTAATAACCCACATGCACCTCATTCTATTTTTCATGTTTTTCTTAACATAACAGTTGCTATTCATCTGACCAAATTGACAACAAAAGTTGCATACTGTCATTGGATCAATCAAGTGAACAGGTTTAATGAATCTGACTTGCCTTCTCCTATGGATAGCAAACTCATTTGCATTTTGATTCAGTCTTATTTGATGAGTGTGAGGTTCAGTGTCATTCTTTTGAAGATGGTTCTGTTTCATATGATGTAACAGTTGACATAAATCATCCATCCTTTTTCTTAGGCTGCATTGTTCACTTCTGAGCATGTCACAGAAATTTTTCTTTTTGTTAAGTTCAGCAAGCACATCAGTTTCAGTCCTTTTCAGGTTCTCATTTTCATGTTTAAGACACTTGTTTTGTCGAAAAAGATTTGCATTGTCTTGTATAAAAAAGCTAATTTTCTGCTTTAGTTCCTTGTTTCTAACATAGGATTCTTTCAAGCTGTTATGCATTTTTTCTAGGAAAGAATTAACATCAATATTAGACTCACTGTCACTATCAGTTTAGGAACTACAAACAGTTACCTCATCATCACCAATGGCCATGAAAGTTACTTGAGCAGATTCCTCTTCTTCCTCAACTTCACATTCTGAGTTGCAATCATTCCAGGTGATCTGGAAATTGTTGAACTTTGGTTTTTGTTCAACCTTGTTCTCCTTCTTTTTCTTCATTGGACACTCATTTGCATAGTGTCCTGGTTGGCCACGTTTGAAACACTTATCAGTCTGCTTCTTGTTGAACTCCAGTTTCCCTTTGTTTCTGAAGTCATTAGACTGATTTGGGAAGGAATTGCTGGAACCACCTTTCCTGAATCTTCTCTTGTTGAGTATTCTTTTAAAGCCTCGTGTGATGAGTGCAATATCACTGTCCTCACCTTCCAAATCATTTCCATCCTGTGAGGCTGTTTCATCTTCGTCTTGTGACGCTTGCAGAGCAATACTCTTTCTTACCTTAGTGTCTTCTTCATCCTGTATCTTAGATTTAAGTTTCAGTTCGTAAGAAGTTAGAGAGTTAATCAGAGATTCAATGGGTAAAGTATTCAGATCCTTGGCTTCCTCAATGGCAGTCACTTTGCTTTTCCAGTCCTTTGATAGAGCATTCAGGATTTTTCTGTTCTTCTCACCTAGAGAGTACTCCTTCTCAAGCACCTCTAAATCCTTGATCGGATCATTAAATTTACAATACATTTTGTCAATGTTTTCATGAGGCTCCATCTTAAAAGATTCATACTTAGTGATCAGAATGGATTTCTTTTGCTCTCTCACATTCTCGTTTCCCTTATGGATCTCTCTAAGTTTATCCCAAATTTCTTTTGCAGATCTACAGCCTTTGACTCTAATGGACTCATTTGAGTCTAATGCACTGTATAGAATATTCATAGCCTTGGCATTTAGAGTGAGATGAGTTCTATCATCAGCAGTCAACTCACTTCTTGTTTTTTGTCTCGGCCTATGAGTAGTTTCATCAACAATAGTCGCGTCATATGGACCTTCACTAACAATAAACCACAACTCAATATCAATGGATTGTAAGAATATAATCATCCTTTCCTTCCAGCTCACATAGTTTGATCCATTGAACATTGGAGGTCTAGTGACAGATTGTTCCTCAAAGAACATGGCATTGTTGGTTGTCATAATTACTCCCAAGCCGATTGAGCTTAATCTCTAGGAGACCAAACTCTGATACCAATTGTAAAGATCGAAAACAACCTAAGAGGGGGGTGAATTAGGTTTTCTAAAACCAGCTAAGATATAGGTCACTCTTTTTCAAGCCTACCCTTCTTTTCTCAAAGACCACTCAATGGATCAGATTACAAGAAAGCACAGGTGTTCGTGAGATGAAGAGGTGATCAGTTTATATAGAAAAGCTATAAACGAAAGTAGAGAAACAAACCAGACTTCAAACTCCACTTGAGTTTGAACAACACTTTATATAACAAGCTACTTTAAGTTGAACAATCTTGCAACCAATTTCTTGTGTACAAGGGAAGAATCACTTCCTTCTTGCCCCAAACCTCACTTGGTCAAACAAGGAAGTTTTACAAACACTCGGATAACCCTCACAATGCTACACTATTGAAGAAGCTGTGTCACACTTGAAAAGCTACAAGAAAATTGCACAAGTTGAGAATACAAATGTTCCTTTGGAGTATTCTAATACTTGAATCACTCATGATTTGATGTAGTCTTAATGTGCATAGTTGCTCTGAGGTGGTTGACTTTCTTCTTTTTATAGGAGACCAAAAAATTCTTCAATTAATGTTGTCAACGGATAGAAGGCATCTGAAGAGTCAACTAGCCATTGGTGCTGTCGGACGTCCGATAGTCAATTTTTATACGTCCGAGCGAGGTCAGTGAGTTCGAAAAATTTTCTTAAACCTCTTAGGACGTCCGATCCCCTCTCACCATGCGTCCGAGGGTAAGATGCAGATTTGGAGGTTCCTCTTCAATTCCTTCGGACGGCCGATGCGTCCAATTTGTTGCGTCCGAAGTGCAGCAACGCTTGTCGGACGTCCGATCCTCAGGTGTTGAGCGTCCGATCGTGATCAATTATCGTAGAAGCCCTGGCTTGTCTTCTTCGGACATCCGAGTCTGAGTTCTTCATACGTCCGAAGTTACTCAATAGATGTCGGACGTCCGATACTCTCCTTTTGTGCGTCCGACATTTTCCTCAGCACTTTTCACCTTTTTTTAATCTTCTTTTTGCTCTAAGTCCTCAGACCTGTTTAGTGCCATTTCTGAAAAGAGTCTCTACAAAAAGTATTAGTAACATCCGTTTGTTTTGTAGTCATCAAAAGATATGAATTGAGATAAACATTATTTATCCATGAAATTTGGTAGAGGAATAGCGCATATATGATAATGTAATCATACCAAATTTGGTGCCATTCCGAGTCTGTTTCACTGCTCAACTAAACTTCCAAAGTTCATGATTTGAATTTGAAAAACCCTTGTTTAACAAGCAAATTTTAGTAAATTTGAGCTACCATATCTTGGCGCTCAAAACTCTGATTCTTGATCCACTTGTTGTGTCTTAAACCTCGCTTGAACTCTAATTGAGTTACAAATTTCAGAGTCTGGTTTGTACTGTGTGAATTTTACCGAATTTCTAAACTTTGCCGAAAACCAACCCCGAAGCGGTCCTAAGTACCCCAAAATAGCAACTTTGAGCCAATTTTTGAATACCTTCCATTTGGAATCATGGAAAAGTTTCTTCTAAGAACTATTAGCACTTTCTAAGAGGTTTCCAATGGTACCAAGTTTTCCAATTTTGGACTTTTAAAGAGTGAGATACAGTAATTCAAAAATCTCATATCAAAACTGAAATTTTCGAATCTTAAGGAAATGGAGTTTTTCGAATTCTCCTTATTCCTTCGATATTACTTGAACGTTTTATACTTGATTTCAAAGATGAAAACTCGATTGCTTTTATGTTTTAAAACCCCATCTTTGAGCCTCGATTTACGAATAATTGGGGTTCATTTTCATGAGATTTCCTTATGTTGTACACCAGTGCAATCTTCTTTGATAATTGGGGTTTATGAGTGATGAATCATTATTAATTAGTCAGGCTCGTGCGAGGACCTTCAAGAGGATCCCACGGTGAACACTTGAACTTCAAGCGACTTTTCTTCTTGTTTACTTGGTGAGTGTCAAGTGCATGATTACTTGAACTCCTGTGAACTTGATACATGCTTACTTGTTATCCATGACTTGAGAATTTGAAAATGGAGTCGAGTGTGTACTTTATCGCACTCGTTCTCATTTGAAATGAATAACTTATGCTTGAAATGCTGGAATATATCAAATGCTTGAAATTATCAAATGTTTGGATATATTAAACGCTTGAATAACATGAACTAGTATGCTATGGCTGTATACGTCGCTGGAGTGAATCTCCTCGACACTCACATGTTACATGGGGGACGTCCAAACTCATAACCCGACCTTGGGACTCGAGCCGGCATGGATTTGGTCGGAAATCTTGGTGAGCCATGAGATTACATGATAAGTTTGATTTATTTGAGAGATCTCGCTTGGCATACTCGTACAGTATCGCCCAATAAATGTCGTGCGGGCCCGGTGTGGTATGTACGGTGGACGGATATGAGAAGTAAGTGAAGATCTACGAATTGGAAATACCGACCCGGTTGACAGAGAGTCATCGCGAGAAGGTATACGAATGACCCTGGCAAAGTATGTGGAACTTACCTCCTGAGAGCTACCATATCCTTGAATTGTTTCTGTTTACATTTCATTGGAATTGTCAATTACTTGTACTTTATCATTTGACCAGTTATTTGGGTTTGTTACTTGGACTTTGTGATTTCATGTGTGTTCTTGGCCTCACGAGCGTTTTGCTCACCCTGTAGATTTGTTTTCCTTAACAGGAATGGATGAGATGAAACCTGGAGGAACCCTTCGGATGTACCTTGGGTATTAGGGGTTCCAATATATTTGGCTGGACTTGTGATGATTGTATATCTTCGGGAGTTGATGTAACTTTTGAGAACACGATGTAAGGATTGGATAATTGATGTATTTTGGAACTCGTGGTATAAGTTTGAAAGTTACTTATGGAGGTGACTTCTTTTTCTTACTTTATCTTACCGTGATAACTAGTATTGTATTAAGCATGAACAAAATTCGTCTTGAGTCCTGGCGAGAGCTTGGCAGGCGTCCCGCGAATACCCTTTGGTTCGCTTTAGGGAGAAGTAGGGCGTCACAGTTGGTATCAGAGCTTAGACTTTAGATTTCTGTAGTGTATCCTAGACTTAAAAGTTTAGGATGCCGGACTGTGGAACAGGTTGGAAAATTAAGTGACA